ATTCAAGGCAGCTGCAATAATTGTGAAAGCCTACTTGTACGCTATACTTTCTTTTGTATAAGAACACATTTTATAAGAACACTGAGGCTGAATTTGTTTGAAAATTAAGAACAAAATAAGAACAAATTTAGGCTGAGGTCAAATGTCAAATGAGAAAAAAATAGAAAAACCAAGAAATCTTTTCTGTAACTTATTTGCAGTAGTAACTATAGGTGCAACTATGTAATAAGAAAACTGAGCAAAATTTTACTGGTGCTTATTAAAAATAAAAGTACCGTATTACTGCGATTCTGGGACTCCAGATTTTTGTCATAATGACTTGATTGCTTTTGGGACCCCAAGGCACTTGTCTGAATAAATAAATGGAATGAAATGATTCTTCCGATGACCGTGTTTGTACGACTGTAAATTATAAACTAAATTCTTAGCTAAACTAATAATCATTTAGCGAAACTGCAGGCTCGAATTACATTCATAACAACATTATATTTTTTTTAAATGTAACGACACCACTAAAATATTAATCACAACAAGCCTATTAATATTAGACCTATGCTTGCAGACATGAAGGCATGGAGTATCGATCCATCCCTATTTAAATTACATTATAGGGTCTGTGATTACGTATAGCATTTTTCACAGTTGTAGTATATTAAAGACAAAATTAATATTCACAAACAGTTCTAGTTAAATATACTTTGATTAGTAAATCATAACAATACAGGTTGAATTAAGGGCTACATTACTACAAAAATAATAAATGTAGTTGGTTCAGTGTAACGGACCACGAACGAAAACAGGTAGGCCTATGATACACCGTACCGTATATGGTATATTGTTTTATTCAGTAGTCTTGAATCACATAGTACACCTAAATTATAAATGATCGATTGTTATGGAACATGCAATTGTTGTCATTTTTTTTATATAAGTGGTTTAATTCTATGTTTACTTGTAATATTGTTTCTAATTTCTGTTCGTGACTTCGTTCTAAACTTATTTTAAATGTACAATTTTTACGTGTTAATGTTTGTAAAAATGGTATTGTTTGTAGACTGTCATCGTTTTATAATAATTGTTTGTGATAATCTTGAATTTTGATATTTTTCATTGTACTGTAGTTTTTTTTTTCTAATTTTAAGTCTATTACATTCGAATCGGTTAAATAATCTTTATTGTATTTTAAAACATTATTAGGTTTTTACTGATATTGAGTAAGTTTTATATTTTATATTTCAATCCTGTAATTGGTGTATACACTGTTGGATGTGCAATAAATAATAACATAATCACCTGTGCTGTGAAGCATCGAATCAAGGCCAGTTGTAAGTATTATTTTTCTTTTTAGTGCTAAGATTCTCATTATTTAATATGAAACCATTTTACGGCCTTCCCTTGTTTAGCCCAGGGGCGGATCCAGAGATGTCCAAAAGGGGGGCCGAAATTTGGGCCGATCGAGACAACAATGTCCTAGGGGGTCCGGGGGCATTTCCCCGCGAAATTTTTGTGTTTTAGACGCCCGAAAATAACATTTGAGGCGTTCTGGGCTATCAATTTTTTTTTTCTTTCTTTTTTTTTATCTCCCAAAAGGGGCCGCCCCCCCCTAAATCCGCCCCTGTAGCCCGCATACAGCAGGCCTACATGATGCAAAAATAATAAGTAACAAATAAAATAACGGAGTTTTTTTAGTACGGATATGGGTATATATTGTCTTTAAATGAGCAACTAAATTGTTTTGAGCTGTGTGCCATTGCAAGTTGTAAACTTATTTGATGTTTATGAATCTGCAATTCAATGTGCTTATAGATTTTCGGATATTCCGATGCCAGACAATTCCGGTACGACACTTCAGCCCGAGTTGATGTAGGCCTACTGTCTTCTTCATCACTCATATCATAGGCCTTAAGTTAAAACCAAAAAAAGGGTTGTGTATTGCAAAATACTCGCGTTTTACAGCGAACAGTCTAGTGACAATGGGGGAAAGGTAGCAATACCATGTGCTCAAGTCATCTCGATAAATTCGGAAGTTGATAGCATATTTAGGTCAGCAAAGTCACTTCGACCCAAACCGGAAGTTTCTGAAGTTACTCAATTTATTCATTCCTCCTATCTCCCAAATCGATTGATTTCACTTTTCCCCAGCTTTATGTATTTACAGGGCACTGTGTTGTATGAATATAAACCTATAGGCCTATACACTGTAGTGAAGTTTATTATTATTTCTAAATTAACAATGTAAATGGTAAACAGGTAAACACACAAACGTACCGGTAGTAGTTGCCGAAGGTAAACAGCCATTAGCAATGGATCTTTTTAACGAGGGTCAACAGTAAAAAAAACAACATCCTATTAATAACTATTATTATAAAACTATAGTTCTGTTAACTTCACAAAAGGTTTATAGCATAATAATTGATTACGATTAATTCGTAAACAGAAAATGCTTGTCTCGACACCATAATGAATTGGTTAATACTGTAACAAAACTTTAAAAAAAAAATATGGTTAGGCTTAGGATATATAAGGTAGTAATCCTTTGTTATGAATCTGTGTTCGGGGTAGTGGGCGTAGTGTACCGTATGTATGTGCGTGCATATCGATATAATTTGACAGTGTGTCATTCACCGCTGGCCAAGGACAAGTTTCGTTCTGTTCCAAAACCCCAGGTTGTTTCTACTTGCCTGTTTGCTTCGCCTTGATGCGCACGATGGTATAGTATGGTCTATAATCTAAAGATCTGTGTTTTCTAGACCTAGAAAGCTAACATATCTGAGCAGAAAAATGCGATTGAGATATGAGTAGAATTTTCTGGACCTAAGTTTTCTAGACACCCCCAACTTAGAGCTTTTATAAATTCCGATCATATTTATCTTAAACATTTTGCAAAATATACGTTTAATTCGTAGGCCTTGAGTATGTACGGCGCATATTTTCGATATCAGAGATCTATTCAGTTCATTGAAGGAACGTCCATTGAACTTTCTCTAATTTCATATTTTCATTTTAAAAAATAACATTTATTTGTATTGGCATAGGCCTATTATTGTTTGTGCGATTTATTATTATTTCTTTAAGTTAAATCATTCATATTGTATTTAGGCCTATTGCAGTATTGATTGGATTTTCAGATGTTGTTCTGATAATTCTTTTTTTTTTATTGCCTGTATATTGTCAATTTGCTTTTTTAACATGAAATAAAATGTCAAAACTTTCATTCGTTAAGAAAACTCTAACACTATGTATTCCATACAAATCACACATCCCCCAATTTTCATCTCATGTCGTCATATCTTGGGGTTGGTTTACATTTAGTAAATTCAAGCCAGACTCAAGAGGAATAAATGTTTTGATATGTTGTACTGTACAACTGTTTTTTGACACAAAAAGAATGTTTGAACCAGTAAGGTGTCAAACAAAATGGGATCCGATCAGTACTTTAATACTCCGGTTGATATTTTAATACTCCGGTTGACTGGTTTTTAGCATGGGAAAGGAAAGTTAAACATATCAAGGAAAACAAACTTAAACAACTAAACTTTAAATTGTTACATAATTTAGTGCCCACTAAAAAGAGGATTGAAACATGAAAGTTAAATGAGTCAGATAAGTGTGAAAGTCGTTGAAGATGAAGAACATTTATTATTTAGTTGTACTGAAGCAAGCATGCTGTGGGATTATATAAATAGTGTAACCGTCAACAGATTTGGTATTGAAGCTACTTTTAGAAACATTGTTTTAGGTATGGAAAATATTGATGTTGATTATCTGTTTTCGGTCGGTTTATACAGTTTATATTCGGTTTTATATATTTATAAAGCTAACGTTTTAAAAAATCTTAACAAGTGGAACCATCGGTCGCTCTTTACCCTTTTTTGAACACAAACAAATATGAGAAAATTGTTTTAATTTTTTTTCAAAAATCAAATTACAGTATTATATTTGTACATGAAAAGACAGTTTTTTTTATACCAGAACTCCATTTTTATATCATGTAAATGGTTGATGTTTATGAGCGATACATGCTGTTAAAATGTGCTACTGAATTGACGAATAAAAGTGGGATGAACCCACAAAAGAGAGAGAGAAAAAAAAAGAAAAAGAGAATGTTTGGCGGTTAATGGGACACAAATTTTTAAATATTTAAAAACTGGGGAACAAGGTAGAGAAAGGGGGTAGTTACGCTCCTTTCCCTCAGTTTTTAAATATTCAAAAATCTGTAGTTCATGAACCGTTCTTGGGTTTTTCGTCAAAACACACTCTTTGTGTCTTAGGGAAGTCAGATGTGGAACATATAATTTTTTTCGCACCAGAGATTGGCATTAAAATGTAAACAATCTTAGCTTTCCACCATCGAGCGTGCAACAAGTAACATTTGGATCTACCGTGTTAAATGGATATCGACAAGGTTTGGGATACACTAAAGCTTTATTATAGGCCTATACATACTGTATTTTGAAAAATAAAACTCAAAATTCCACGACTCTAGATTTTGCGGTTTGGGTCGGCTAGGCTTTGGAAACACAAATGTTTGGTTTTAAAATCCACAATACAATACATCGATTTATATAGTTTTGTGTATACAAAGTTATGGATGAAATAATATGCAAAATATAATTAAAATAATAATTAGTGAACATTTATATAAACTTTGGCTAAAATGGTTGTGTTGCGAAGCACACATTAAAAAAATTAGAGCTGGTCAGTCGGATTCCTTTTTGTACTTTAGGCCTTAGGAATAATTCTAGGATTATTTTTAACCATCACTTACGCAATGCATTTTAGTTGGTAAATGGCAACCAGAGGGCTAAAGTCTATAGTTAAGGTATCTAAATAACAACTTGCAAAATTGTTTTTTTTTTCAAGCAACATAAAATATTTTGAGTTTATCTTTGGTTAAAAAAAAACTGACCATACATTTTCGGACAGTCTTAGGCAACACGATATATCTTTTTGGAAGTATTACTAAGACTGGTAACTCGACAAAAAGAAGCTTGATATAATTTTATTTCCAAAGAAATATTTATTGCTTATAATTTTTAATTGTTATCTATCTACTGACTACCTCTATTATATACATATTAACGTTGATTTTCCACTTCTTATCTATATAATTACAAGGCACATTTAATAAAAATGTATATCAATCAATGACTTGCATGTGGGTCTAGTACTTCGTTTAAATTTCTGTGGAATCCTGGAATATGAACGTAGAATGACTACAAATGCACACTGGAGAAACTTCAATTGTAACAACATTCAAACATTCATTTTCCTATCAATTCTTATGTTATCATTTCCCATTATTTCTTAATTGTATCAAGTTGAACAGGAAATACGATGTGTTTAACGCTGATAAAACCTACTGTTGGTAAATTAAGCAAGTTAAAATAATATTCAATTATACGTTTGCATAATTATATTGTTAAATACCACATTGGTCCCTATTTATAAGGCTTAAAATCATGTTCATGTTCATTTTGATACACCTTTTGTATTTTCTTTTCACTTCGTTCTAATAGTTATATTCCCTCTCTGGTGTGAATACTTGTAATACATTTCACAATTTCTATCCACAATGTGCTTCAAAATTCCAGCGTCAAAAACTTGAACATAGGAAACATAATCACACATAGGCATACTGTATACCGTATACGCAAATTGTGCACCGTACCTCGTATGTAGCACTAACGATTGATAATAGATTTATCTGGAGGGAAACTCATCCGGAATCAGATCTTTACACCTTGTGTAGTGCTAATAAATACATTACATATTTTACCCGTTCAATCTTGTTTATCTATTTATACTATGATCACGTCGACGCATTTGAAACAGGACATCGCTTAAGAATACGCACCAATTAAACTGATTGCACTGTGTTCCTTAGCTTTTAGACGAAGTGCTGCGATGCTATTTGTGCGTCTTTCTGATTCACCAGAGAGGACTGGTGCTGGGGCAGCGGGCATTATAATGCCCGGATGTCCGTTGGAGATCATGGGAGAATTACTATAAGGTACATGCGCAGATTGACTAGTCATGTTATTAATGTTGCTCATATTCATGTTCGTCATGTGAGAAATGTTCGTCAGATTGGCCATGGAGTTCATTCCCATGTAGTTCGGCAAACCATTCTGTGGCACCATACACGAGGCGTTAGCCATGGAGACAGACGGTGATTGTCCATAGCCTCCCTGCATCGGACTCATCGAGTTGATAGAATTTATTCCTGCCATTTGAGGAGACCATCCGTTGGAAACGGCTGTAACCTGTTGTAAAAGGGAGAGTATCACAAAATAAGTGAAACATGTTAAAATTTGATTACTACAGCATAACACAACCTACGTTTTTAAAAAAGAAATTTTACATGGGCGGGATAGACACTCCAATTTATATTAATATGCCACGAAAAAACTTACTTGAGAGTAGGCGTCTGGTCTAGGTGCAATTGGCATTTCGTAGTTAGCTCCAGTGGCCATTGCTCGCATGCTGTTCAGTTGCCCGAATCTCTCACGCTTCCTCCATTTTGCCCTTCTGTTTTGAAACCAAACCTTGAAAACAAAAACCAAACAACGTGAAATTGAATAAAGGAAAGTATGCTTAAGATCACGTATCAATGTAAGCATGCAGGAGAAATCTCCTTGGCAACTTAGATGACAGTTATAGGTACATACCCATTACATAAAAACAAATAGTAATTGTATCAATAGGTTGGTGGCGCTGTGCATCAAGGCTTCGCCATGGTAATGATCATAAATATTAATAAGTGTGTACTGTAACTTTTTATGAGCACGATTTTTTTTTATATTTCAAATCAATGAAGAACGCTAACCCCCATGTACTTGAAACTGCCCTTTTCTAGACACCAAGACCCCGTCAAGGTCGCAAATGAAATACGACCAAACCCAACGTCAAGGCTGTGGAAATTAAAGAAGCCATTTTTAGATGGTTCTTGTGTAGATCTGTTGTCTTGGAATCAGCTACCCTCATCCCGGGGGATCTGCTCTACAAATATTCGGTTCAAGCCTAGCATGAAACGATTTATGGAATGAGCACGTGCAGCGATGTACTTTCTTACTTTCTGTTTGGCCTTAGGCAATACAATTGTTTTTTGATACCGAGAAACAAAAACTAAATGATTTCGATGATATTCCATTTCAGACATTATATTTAACATCTGAAAATACAAAGTCCCCCAAGAAGGTGGAAGTGGTTGCCAAGAACGGTAAAATAAATTGCATTCCTAATAGCTGGAATGATAAACGCATTCGCGTGTATATTACAATACCGTCGAAAAGAGAAAAGAATAATAGCCTATTAAAAACATTAATATGAGATAAGATCAAAATGTACCGATTTAATCATAAACACTATCAACAATGTAAGACTAACAAGTACCACATACCGACACTGCACATTAAAACAGTGTATCAAAATATAAGAATAAATAAGTTATGCCGATGTGATAGAATATAACAACTATTATTAAAACTCCATAGTAATACAAAGATGACAACATTTTACAATTATAATTATTTCCACATGTTCGGCATCTCTTAGAAATATGATATTACGGCATTTCTTTTGGTTAAACGTGTTTTTTTTTCATTTCCACATTTCGTACCGCAAATTTAACGGAGCTTTATGAACTGATCAGAATACAATCCTGAACCGTGCTAAACTTGTAACAAGAAAGCTTTATTTTAAGACTATGAACAAAATTCAATGTCATCTATTGTTTTTGTATTTCTGAGCTTGAAGATAATCCATGGATGTAATGAATCGGTGAAGTAATCAAAGTGAACCGCGTTTCTGTTTATATAATATAGGCTATGTAATGTAATATAATGTAATATTTAATTGATAAATAATTAAATAAAACAATACAGTCATGTTTGAATTTTTTTAATCGTTATTTGAATATTTATAAATCTGTAAAAAGTGTAAATATGCTTAATTTCATGTCTTGTTTGCCATCTAGAAAGTTTTACATATTATAATTATATATCTTGTTATAGTTTGTTTATGGGCCTATTAATATTATTTAACATAGTAAAATACAATTAGAAGAGTTATCGCCATTATAATAGTATAGTCAGCTTGTATAGTCAATGGCTGCTTATAACTGATCTCAATGGCTAAATTTATTATTATATTTATTTAGTGATAATTAGGAGTACATTCTATTATGTTCATAATAATATATTACATTTGATTTTATTTTATTTTATGGTATTCTTTTTTAACAACAGAAATTTTCATATGCATTCTTATAAAATGTTTTCGAAAATAATATCAATAAAATTTCAATCATTTTATATCCAAGATTACTTACTAAATTGACTCATAGATAACATTTATATGCACTTTTATTTTGATTTTGTGTATTTATTTTTAAATACGCAACCATCCAAAAATCATTCTAATTCTGATCAATATTTGTTTTATAATAGTTATAATAATAATTTCATGTTTTATTCATATTGCTCTGGCAGTGCAAACATTATATTGTAACAATATTGACAATAAAATTTCATTCAAAAAAAAAATACAGAAAAAATACACAGAGAGAGCATATACAAAGTCAAACTTGAAAAAGACCTAATCTAAACAGTAACAGTAAAATGTATATACATCCGTATCCAGTCGTACTTCGAAAACTAAACCATTTTAGTATTATTATATTTGTATGTACTTTTATTTTGAATTTGTGTTTTTTGAAGT